TAGCGTGCCAATTACAATCTGAGGATCAGTTGACCGCTCTGTGCCTCTCTTAACGCGATTATCAAATTCATCATAGACATCTGTGTACAGGCTTCCCTATACCAGGTGAGCTATGAGATGCTTCGATGCTTAATGAATGTATTCATAATAGAGAATCCGTTGTTGGCACAAAACCCCAACAACTTGATGCCCTTACTGTTGAGGCCGACAGAGTCGTTCTTTCTAATCACGCCTTTCTACTTTCCAGTATCTGTTCTGACATGCGCATTAAAATGCCCGTGAGTATGAGGGGCTCCGTATTTGGCACTTCATATTCGAAATTTTGTACAGAGCATACTGCACCTCCTCAAGAAGAGAGTCATATTCTCCTTTCAAGCTGGGCGGATAGACTTGAGGCGAAGTCAGCGCCTTAGACTGTTTTGACCTCAGTCAGACCATCGCCACTTTTCTGCTGGCAGACTTCCGTTTTATATTTCCGTCAGCCATGTTGAGTTCTAGCAAAACATCAACACCGGGCAGATGGAATAGGTTCCATCTGCAGAAGTTCAAGATTCCAGAGAGTAAGAGAAAATGGGAAACTTAAGTTTGTTTTTTAATGGCTTCCATCAATATATGTCATTTGTAGCGAGTGACGAAAAGTCATCGAACTATTGAATTGTTTCCTGAAGCTTTGATTATGAATGCTTTTGCGGGATGCTTCGTTGACCTTTGCCAAAATTACGTCGTTGAAAAATTCATGAGCGAAGCTATTGCCGGCCAAGTTAGTAATGCCAAGATGCACTTCAGTTCTTCATGGCTTTATCAACATTAGTTGCAGTCTGTCAGCGCTGCAACACAGAATTATTTTCAATATGAGGAAGGAGGATCAAGGACCAGCGACCAAAGCTGTTACGATTTATTGTCAGATAAAGAAACCTTTGGCATTATATTGTTCAGACTGTGCTTTCATCAGGTCTACCAGAAAAGAAACAACAAAATAAGGCATTTTAATTCAATGAAAGACTTCAAGAATTATAGTTGGAGTTATTCAATTATTGACAAAGCGACAAGTGCGCAAAGAAAGCGTGTCTTAGAGACACGTGATAATGTGGATGGTTGCAGTTTCTCGGAATTCTGTTTACATTAAGCGATATTTCGTTGATCTTGCGTCTATTCGATACCAGAGGTCATCGATAGGAGCTTGCGGTCTGCTCCTTTGTTCGCTCTGAATATAACCCAGCTACCAAAGCATCGAGGTGTCGACCGATCAGTACAATGCGATCGAAGTCACGGTGGGCGGCGACGGCAGACCCGTTGAAGTTCAAAGGTGTGCCGCCGACAGCGTGAAGTTTTATTAGCCGTTAATCAGCGATGAAACGTTCTGTGAGTGACCAGCGGCTACCGATCACGAGGGTTGTCGCAAATTAGTTTTCGTTCGCCATGGCATACGGCCATACACATGACGATTGCCTGAATCGCGGTCGGACGCTTCAAAGGTTGTGGACCAATGTCTGTTGAGGTGCCGGTAGCCTAGTTTCCCGTAGCGGCTACTTCGGTAAGAGATTTCATCTTTTGAGGTCAGTTAGGTCGCTGGCCGGTCGTGCTGAAAGGCCACCGTAAACAAGCCGCTCTTCGCTTTCGGCTTTCCGCTGCTGAGTCTCGTGAACTCAATGATCAACTCGACAGCTTACTATTCGTCGTCGTCCGTCGTTCCACCGTCCCTGATGAACGCTGGAAACGGCATGACGTTCTCATCGATGGACGAGAAAAACTTCCTGAATTTTCCTGCCGGGTGTCTACCACTGTCGGCGATCCCCCCGTCTGTCCATCCCAGCGTAGGAGCGCTCGAGGAACAACGTGTGGACATTAGTCGATACACTCATATGGTACGCCTGTGAAAGGTTAATATTGCCTCATTCTGTACAGTTTTTCTACCGCCTCACAAATAGATTGCACAATTTACTGATAAATGATAAACGTGCAATCAGTTCTCTTTCGATTCTACTTTGCGGCTTATTTCATCTCTTTTGTACCAGCTACTGCTTATGAATATTTATACGCATCGTTTGTTGATGTTAGCTGAAAACTGAGTTCTTCAATGACTCCATTTTCAGTGAGAAAAACCTTTCTGGTGTTCTTCGGCATTTAGGATGGATACGTGGTATTTCACTTGTTCCTAGTGCGTCTTACAATAAGTGACATGATCTCCATTTATCTTATCAATACCCATAGTTTAACCGATTTACCAGGTATTCTTGTGGTATTCCTTTGCCTCTCGGCATCATTTAACTGCAAAAAGGTTCGTAGCATTTTTGTTCTTGCAGGGTATAGGTGCATCTGGCACTGTTCTTCTTTTGATAAACTTTCGATATTGTTCTTCTCATTACCAACTGTGATTTTGGAGACAAGAATGTTTGCGTGCTTTGAAGGAGCATCAAAATTCTTTTTGCATATGCTGGTATTAGTATGTGTTATTCTACGAGTTCATGTAAAGTTATCTATCGCATATGTTTATTCT